GATGTGCCCATATCCTGTGTACTCTTAGAGACACGAAGGCTGTCTTGATTAGATGACCTCCATACACACTGTGATATCCACAATGTGAAGGAAGGCCTTCTGCTCTGTCTAATCTGACTAACAAATTAACAGTGCACATGATGTATAAATAATAAAACCTAACAGCACTAAGCTTTACTCATTCACAGCTACCCAATCATTTATACTGGAAAATGTATATATATCAACATGTAAAAAAACAAACAGAAAAAAAAAAATCATGTTAAAATAATGTCAGAACTGTATGAATATTATCTTGATAATTGAAAACAGATTCTCTTCTTCACATAACCCTCTCCATTTATCTGGGCTTGGGACCAGCACCAGGAGCACATTAAGACTGTGGACCCCTGGTGGCAGGATTATTATGTGTGTGTGTGTGTGTGTGTGTGTGTGTGCGGGTGTGTGCGGGTGTGTGTGTGTGTGTGTGTGTGTGTGTGTGTGTGTGTGCGGGTGTGTGTGTGTGTGTGTGTGTGTGTGTGTGTGCGGGTGTGTGTGTGTGTGTGTGTGTGTGTGTGTGCGGGTGTGTGTGTGTGTGTGTGTGTGTGTGTGTGTGTGTGCGGGTGTGTGTGTGTGTGTGTGTGTGTGTGTGTGCGGGTGTGTGTGTGTGTGTGTGTGTGTGTGTGTGTGTGTGTGTGTGTGTGTGTGTGAGAGAGAAGTGTAATGGAGATATGTGTAAAGGTGTTTTGGATAATTTTTGGATTTTTTAGAATACATTTTGTTTTTATCATCAATACATTTTTGTATGTATAATAAATATATATTTTTTTGTAAATATACATTTGAATGTGACATAAGAAGACAAAGGAAGGGTGGGCAAGCCGGGCTCAGGAGAGTATGGCAGCTCCAGTCTCTTGAAAGCAGGCCTTCTCGGTTTGCCACTGCTGCCTCTCACCATGCAGATCCTCCTGAAGGTCTTTCATAGCTGCTTCCATATCTATAAGAGCGATCTGCTGCTCTGTCAGGAGACCGGACCTTTTCTGGGCCCAGACCCAGATCTTCTGCAAATCAGCTTTTAAGTCACTGGTTTCCTGCTCTTTCTCAGCTAAGCAGATCTCAGCCTCCTTTGTTCGGTCTTTCTCAGCAAGCAGACTCGTTTCCAGTTCCATGACTTTTCTTGCAGCATCCTGATGTAATTGGTTGTTTTCCTGCCCTTTCAGACGCAGAGAAGCGTCCTCCTGCTCTAATTCGGCTTTCAGTAACTCCAACTGCTTTTTCAGCTGCTCCCCCTGATCTCTTTGTTGTTGGTCGGCCATAAAATGGGATTTTTCTTGCTCCAACTGCTGCTGCTGTTCCTTCAAATCTTTCTCCATTTTTTCCAAAGTAGCCTTGATTTCACTGGTTTCCTGCACTTGTTGGGCACTTGTCTTCAGGTTTTCTGATAATTTTGTATTTTCTTGTTGAAGTGCTGCGATCTTCTCATCTTTTAAGTAGATTTCATCTTCCTGGACCCCATTTCTTTGAGCGGTTAGCTCAGATTCCAGCTGTCTGGCTTTCTCGTGGGTATTCTGATGCGCTGCTTCCATTTTCTGAGGCAACCCAACAATACGTTTGATGGTTTCTGATAACTTGATGTTTTCCTGTTTCAAAGCTGTGATCATCTCGTCTCTTGAGCGTAAGTAGATCTCTGCTTCATCAATACATTTTTGTATTTATAATAAATATATATTTTTTGTAAAAATACATTTGGGTGTGACGTAAGAAGACAAACAAAGGGTGGGCAAGCCGGAGCACCCGGAGAGAACCCACACAGGCACGGGAGAGTATGGAAGCTCCATGTAGAAAGATCTCCATCTACAAGGGAACAGCACTAACCACTGTTCCACCGTGCAGCCCCATTGTGTTTACCAGGGTCTAATCAATACCAAGGTTGGAGTCTACCTCAGAAAAAGGTCCTGGTATGGAGGCAGTGCTTTTTTATTTAAAGGGAACCACAGAGTTTTGTGGAGAGTGAGGGCTAAATATTATGGACTGGATTATGGATTCTGTGAAGGGGTCTGGGAAGTTAAGGGTTAAAGGAATGGTTATAAAAGTTAAGGGTAACAGTTAATGGAAGGGGGTGGGGGGTTAATGTAAAGCTTGTAAGAGATAAGGTTTGAGATTTGGGTTCAGTAAATATTTTTGTCAGTTTTAAGTTTGTTGGGAGGACAGTTTTCTTGAGGTTTAGCAGAAATTATTTTTCTGACTGACAGCATTTAAAGAGGTTGACAAATCTTTTCCTTATAGATTTCTTTTTAGGTTTTCTTTCTATCTCATGTTGCAGATTTATAATTTTGTCTATAAGGCTCTCTGTTGTTGTTTTCTTCTTCTCTTCCATCTCTTTCAGAGCCTTCTGAGCTTTTGCAATTGTCTCTTGAAGGCAGGCCTTCTCTGTTTGCCACTGCTGCCTTTCACGATGCAGAACCTCCTGAAGGTCTTTAATTTGTGGGACCACATATCTAACAGTGTTCTCCTGCTGAACATTCCTGAGCAGCTTTCCCTTGCTCAGGAGACTGAACTTTTCATGGCGCCAGAGCCGTGTTTCCCGCTTCATATGTTGTTCCATCTTTAGTAAAGCGGCCTTTAAGTCACTGATTTCCTGCTCTTTCTCAGCTAAGCAGATCTCAGCCTCCTTTGTTCGGTCTTTCTCAGCAAGCAGACTTGTTTCCAGTTCCATGACTTTTCTTGTAGCATCCTGATGTAATTGGTTGTTTTCCTGCCCTTTCAGACGCAGAGAAGCGTCCTCCTGCTCTAATTCGGCTTTCAGTAACTCCAACTGCTTTTTTAGCTGCTCCCCCTGATCTCTTTGTTGCTGGTCGGCCATAAAATGGGATTTTTCTTGCTCCAACTGCTGCTGCTGTTCCTTCAAATCTTTCTCCATTTTTTCCAAAGTAGCCTTGATTTCACTGGTTTCCTGCACTTGTTGGGCGCTTGTCTTCAGGTTTTCTGATAATTTTGTATTTTCTTGTTGAAGTGCTGCGACTTCCTGCTCTAATGCGATAATGTAGTCAGCAGCTTCTCTCAACTGTTGCCAGTTAGCAGTTAGCACAGACTCCAGCTGCCCGGCTTTTTCGCTGGCATTTTTACGCTCAGCCTCCACTTTTTCAAGCTCAGCAGCATGTTTCTTCAGGTTTTCTGATAATTTTGTATTTTCTTGTTGAAGTGGTGCGATTTCCTGCTCTAATGCGATAATGTAGTCCGCAGCTTCCCTCAACTGTTGCCAGTTAGCAGTTAGCACAGACTCCAGCTGCCCGGCTTTTTCGCTGGCATTTTTACGCTCAGCCTCCACTTTTTCAAGCTCAGCAGCTTGTTTCTTCAGGTTTTCTGATAATTTTGTATTTTCTTGTTGAAGTGGTGCGATTTCCTGCTCTAATGCGATAATGTAGTCCGCAGCTTCCCTCAACTGTTGCCAGTTAGCAGTTAGCACAGACTCCAGCTGCCCGGCCTTTTCGTTGGCATTTTTACGCTCAGCCTCCACTTTTTCAAGCTCAGCAGCTTGTTTCTTCAGGTTTTCTGATAATGTTGTATTTTCTTGTTGAAGCGCTGCAATCTTCTCATCTTTTAAGTAGATTTCATCTTCCTGGACCTTATTTCTTTGAGCGGTTAACTCAGATTCCAGCTGTCTGTCTTTCTTGTGGGTATTCTGACGCGCTGCTTCCATTTTCTGAGGCAACTCAACAATACGTTTGATGGTTTCTGATAACTGGATGTTTTCCTGTTGCAAAGCTGTGATGGTCTCGTCTTTTAAGCGTAAGTAGATCTCTGCTTCCTGCACCTTTTGCTTTTCAGCAGTTAGCTCAGACTCCAGCTGCCTAACTTTCTCATTGGTATATCCAAATCCTGCATCCATTTTCTGAGACACAGCAATGCTACCAGATGTAACTCCCATAGTATTATCTGCTTTAGATATGGTTGACATGTCGGCTATAATTGAAGGAACCACGTTCAATTGCGAATGAAAAAGGAGGAATTGGTCAATTCCAGCGTTGGTTGTTGATTCAAGGCAGCCTCCTAAGGAGAACAATAATGATGGTTGGATTAAAGCTTTGTTTTAAACTAAAAGCTTCTTTTTTCTAATGACTGGGCAGATTTGTTCTGTGGAAAAGTCTTTAATTTTCTAATTACAAGGAGCTAACTCAAGAGATGCATTCACTCCAAGGGAGTTCTTGAAATGGAATGTGGGAGTCTATGTTGTTCTAGAACAACATAGACTCCTCCCACATGAGTCATGCCTGTTCTAGAACAACATAGACTCCTCCCACATGAGTCAGGCCTGGCTGGAGGTTCTACATAGTCTGTAAAAAGTTAAGTTTCCTTAATTGTTATATTTAGTTACTTTAACTTTTTTTTTTAAAGTAACTAAATATGATTAAGAGACTGCCAATATAATACATCATAATATGATACATCTTTATTTATAAAACACTGGTTAAAGTGCTGAATTATGTTAAAACTAAGTAAACTTAATAGATCTAACATCAAAAAAAGATAACAGAATTATTTAATAAAACAGGAAAAACTATCTAAAGCAAACTGTTACAACAGTTGGCAACAATGGCATCTCATTCCATAATTTGGGGGCAGTAACTTAAACATTCACTCTCCTCTGAATTTACTTTCTTGATTTACAATAAACCAACAGAAACACATGAACTGACCTGAGAGAGCATGAGGAAACAGACATTTAAATCCAGTTTAAAAGATAATGAGGGACAAGACCATGTAAACACTTAAAAAAAGAAATAGAACTTCAGGTTTAAAGAATTTTCAAATCAAAACAAAAATAACTGCAAACAGGTGAAATCATGCCAAAACAGGAGTGATATGTTAATTTTCTCTTTAACAGGTAAAAGGCAAGAAACAGCATTTCTAACCAGCTTGAGTTGATTCTCAGCTCAGCCCAACATATAACAACAATATAACCAAGTCATAGCAAAGGCATTATTTAAATTATTTAAATGATTCTCCCTGTACACCAACAGCTGCACCTCCAGTCATCAGTCTGCAGTTCTACTCCTCCATCATTGAGTCCATCCTCACTTCCTCCATCACCATCTGGTACGCTGGTGCCACCGCTAAGGACAAGAGCAGACTGCAGCGTGTCATCCGGTCTGCAGAGAAGGTGATTGGCTGCAACCTCCCATCTCTCCAGGAGCTGCTCGCCTCCAGGACTCTGAGGCGTGCAGGGAAGATGGTGGCTGATCCCTCGCTCCCCAGTCACAGATTATTTTAGACACTTCCCTCTGGCAGGAGGCTGCGGTCCATCAGGACCAGAACCTCCCGTCACAAAAACAGTTTTTTCCCATCTGCTACCGGCCTTATCAACAAGGCCAAGAGCCGCCCGTGACAATGTTTCTCTCCCCCATTCAGGATTTCTGCGTTACATTAACGTACAGTCTACTGTGTGTATATATTCTATCTTATTTTGTTTTTTGTCTGCACCAACAACACCAAGTCAAATTCCTTGTAAGTGCAAACCTACTTGGCAATAAACTTGATTCTGATTCTGATATAACTGCTTGGGCTTTGGTCAGTTGCCTCAGATTAAGACTAAACTTGATTACACATTTTCTGTGCATAAAGTTTTAAACCACTGTTCAGTCAGGTTTGTTGCTGTGTGAGACAGATACTCTGTTAAGAGACCCAGATCACTGGGCTTAAATCCACAACATCCATGCTTTCATTTCAGGAATACAAAATCTATGGCCAAGAGAATATCATTACTTTTAAACCACAAAGTATATTCAGAGAGCAAATAAATCACTGCATATGCATGTAAACATACATGCACACATTCACTGGTGTCTACACAATGTTCAAGTCTATCAGTGCTTTGATGAGCTATGAACAGTGGTGTCAAAAGTCCACACATTTCTTACTTAAGTAGAAGTATAGATACTGCAGTTTAAAAGTACTCTGGCAAAAGTTAAGGTATTAACTTGACCTCTTTACTCAAGTAAAAGTGAAAAAGTATGTGCTCCAAAAACTACTTAAAGTATAAAAGTATAAAGTAACCTTTAAAAAAAAAACAGCCAGATGCCACTATATGAATTGAAAACTCAATTTGTCAACTATTTCTAAAAATTGGGGCCAAGGAGGAGGGAGGTCTTGATGGTCTCCATCTCCCGATACGCTCTCGCCTGTGTCCGACCTTTCAGACATTTCAACATCTTTTTCTGAATCCGACATTGTAGCATGGCATAGACAATTCACGTTTGCAGTTTGAAGAACACCTGCTGTCTTCTGATGATTTCCTTTAGCTAACCAATGAGTGTTTGCTTTATATGATTCATCCAATTACACTAGTTTTCAATAGGTGTGAATGGCGCCAATGATCTGCATTGGATGGAGCACATGACGTGAAATATTTAGAAACATTAACACAATGGCAATTAAAAATCATCGGGGTCCGAATAAAGAAAATCATCAACCAGTAAATTTTTAATGATCTGTTACTTTAAACCAAATGAAACACTGAAATAAAATGAGGTGTTTATGCATCCATGTTATACACAGAATTTTTAAATATATATAAAAAAATGGAAAGTTTTTCCATTTTAAAATCTAAAGTGTTTTTGTGAAGTAGAGAACAACAATTGTTCAGTTTGGTATATAGACAATTTCCTGATTCACATATTTTATAAAGCACCTGAACTGACTGGTTGTTGTTATTTTTCTTTCTTTTTCATGGTTTAATGGGACCAGTGGGCTTTATGCTGCCATGCAAGGCTTTAAACCTGGGTTTGAATGGAGACAAAGCCGTTCTAAAGCACATATCAAAGTGCGCATTCTGAGCCTGGATCCATATTTATGTTTGATTCTGTTCATGGTGGAGAATCCTGCTTCACAGCAGCAGGTTAATCCAAACATACTAAATGTTCAGGCTCCGCTCCGGTCCGGCCAGGTCAAGATCCCCTATTGCAATCGCACCAAACAGGAAAAAGAACGGCGAGAAGATCTGGTTTGTCAGATTAAAATATCGTAACAACATATAGGTAACTACAGATGTGCGGGAAAAAATAAAAAAATAATCACCTCCCTGCATCAGAGCGCTACCTGTTTGACCATTTGACGGTTTTTTTTCATGCTTGAAAAAAAACTAGCAGCAGTAATGGAGTTTGGAGATGCTATCTAGTTCTTAAATCTATCTTTGCTCTCCTGTAATTTATCCAGAAGTTCTGCAAACGCATTCTTTCTCTCGCTCAAAGCTTTGTGTTTGGCCGCACATTTAGCCTTCCCTTCCAAATGTCTGTTTTTATTATTTGAGAAATACTCGTGCCAAAGCAAAAATGCATTGATAATGAAAGCAAATGATTTGGTCTATTCTTCTATGAATCCTCTGTTCTCATCAGGTATCTTCCTTTTTGTCCCTTTGGGATCCACGGCCCCGCCGCTTTCGTTGCCTGGCACCTCGCCACAAAAAGACAAGTGCTGCAGGCTTTGACCACTGATCTCTATGGCTATGACGCACATTTTCGTTGAAATAAATGTTTACATATATTGTTTAAATGTATTTATTATAAAAATGTTTACAGCATTAGAAAACATACTGAATGTCTGTTTGACCTCCTGCACACCATTTTATAATAAACAAATCAAAATAATTAGGAGCTGTATGCGGCTCTGGAGCCACGGGTTGCCAACCTCTAAACTAGGGGGTCTGGAAAATCTCTAATTTTCTCAGATGATGTGGTTCTGCTGGCTCCATCCTACCAAGACCTACAGCATGCACTGGGGAGGGGTGCAGCTAACTGTGAACTAGTTGGGATAAGATTTAGCTTCAGGATGGAGGAGGTCTCATGCCTTATTGAGGAATTCATTTGTCTTTGATTCTATTCATGAGTGAGGGGAGAATTGAGCAGGACATTGATAGACAGGTGCTATAATCTGAACACTATACTGATCTGTCATGATGAAGACAAAGCTGAGCAAAAAGGCACCTATAGTCATGAAATCCGAATTATGTCTGAAAAAAGAACAAGATCCAAGCTTCAAGCGGCTGAAATTAGCTTTCTCTGCAGAGTGGCAGGGCACTACCTTAGAGAGAGTGTGAGGAGCTTGATCATTAAGAAGAGGTTTAGAATAGAGCTGCTTCTCCCCATCAAGAGGAGTTAGCTGAGGTTGCTAGGACATCTTTTTGGGATGCCTGCCAGGCACAGGGGTCAACCCAGGACACCAAGGCTTCGCCCAACAGAGATGGAAAGAGAAGTTTCTGCTGAAGCTGCTACCCCCGGGACCCGGTCCCACATTAAGTGGAAGACGACAAGATATGATTTGATATTGTAGCGAAACTAAAGGCACCATCTGTCCGAGTCCTACTCAAACTTAAGATCACCTTTGGATTAGTTGGATAATTAGGTTTTACAGATCACATTCTTGTTACTTCAAGCCCATACAAAACTAAACAATATAAATGTTGTTGCTAAAGTCCAGGCTGACCATTAAAAATGCATGTATGCTTCTCACTGCAGAGAAAAGCTAGCATTGAGAAGAAACAGAATATGAGGAAACAACAAAGTTAACCTCAAAACTTTTTTTTTTTATTTAAAAAGTTATTCAAAGTTTCATTTTTGGATTGTATTTTTTCTCATTTACAAAATGTAAAATAATGGGACAGAATTCATTGCATACAGTCCTTTTGATGTACTCCGGGATTCATTTGCTCCTTCAGTTTAAGTTTGTCTTGGAGTTATTTGGGCAGGCTTATTGTGGTTTCTGAGGTTTCACTGCAAAACTAAAGACATCAATTCTTTTGACAAAAAGGCAAAAGCAGAATAAATATATTACTAACGAAATTTCTCTCACAACACCCTGGCTTTTTAACCCAAACCAGTAAGACATCTCGTGCTTTCAGAAGACTTCATGTTTGCACTCAGAGCATTTTACATTATATTTAGGTATCCAGGGGAAACTTGGAGTCAATGAAGAAAACTCCTTCCATCAAAATTCACTGACTTCTCATTCCTCCTCAGTACATATTATTGCAGAGCCCACATTAATTTGACAGCTCTCCAAGCCTTTTCTGCACACAGCAGAATATTGATGGACAGAAAACCCCTGGATGTCTGTTTTTTCATTTTTTTTTTTTAAATATTACTAAAGATATGTTTTGCTGCTAGTGTCTCTGTCCTCTGCTTTCTGTGTATCTTGCTTCTCCAAAAAGCTCCCCTTTTTCTCCCTGCCTCCCCCCATCGAACCAGTGTCTGACCTGTCTGCTGTGATGACCATTAAGGCCGGGGCTGGTGGTGCCGAAGGGCCTGTTGCTTCCCTGCTTGCATCCCCGTTACACTGCAGCAAGCCCGCTTGCCCACAGCAGCTAACAAGCTGTGCATTCAGACATTTAATGCCGCAAATGAAGCTATGCGGTGGACCAGCTCCAGAGATGAACAACCAAAGTGCTGCTGAGACCCATCAGCAAGGACCACCTGCTCTGCTGCTTAAACTCAGATTGCTTATGGACTTTTATTTGCTTCAAGACAGAGGATATAGTCCATTTGTGACTTTTTCTGACTCTCTGTCATTTATTCTAATTTTATAAAAAATGCAACACCTCCAGCTGTAGTGAATAATGCATTGCTTAGGGTATTTGGGACTCTTCAGTACAAATTCAGGTTAGATCCATATAACCATGACATTAAATGACACTCTGACGCTCACAGGATACCTCAATGGGTGACAAAAACATACAGCAGATTATCCCACTTTGTTTTTTTTATATTTCAGTCTTACACTGCATCTAGAAATTAGCAAAAATTAAGTGTATTTACCATTAATCAGAGTAGTTTATTAAGATTATTTGCCAATGGAATGAGTATTTTTACTCTTAAAATAAGATAATTTGATAATATGCATTTGAAGACTATTGTTTTTTTCTTATTTTAAATGTAAATTGTTCTGTTGGCAAAGTGTCTCACTTACCTCCCTTAATTCAAGAAAAAATGCACTTATTGCAAGAAAAAAATGACTTATTTAGATTTCCTTTTTTTGCAGTGTACATAGCATGCAATAATAAGTTTAACAGTAGTCTTGCAGAAGTCTGGGA